TCTTATCATTTCTTTCATTGTTGTTTCAGTGTTGACTGAATCTTATGATTTTCTTCTTTATTATTTTGGTGAGAAGTTAAATAATTTTCTTTGAGATTACTGTGTAATTTATTATTATCTTGACAAATTCAAAATACTCTGTCCTATCTCTCTATTTTCTTGACTTCCTCTGCATATATAAGTTCTGTATCTATACTATTTATTCTCTTTCCTTTGTAGTTGCCATTGTTTGCAAATTGATATGTCTAGTTCTCTATTTTCAGCATTGTAGGTTTATTTTAATTTTTATACTTCTATATATGGGTTGGGAGCTCTGGAGGTATAATGCCTAAGGCATTTGACTGCTAACCAAAAGGCTGGCAGTTCAAACCCACCAGCCACTCCTTGGAAGGAAGGTTGGGCAATCTACTTCCATAGTGATACTGCCTCAGAAACCCAAGGAAGGGTCGCTATGAGTAGATCTGACTCAATGGCAGTGAGTTAAGTTTTTTTTTGGTACATATGGGTTAGTGCCTGGATGATATTGCCATGTGTCTTAATCTGAGGTTGTTAGTTCTCTGATAATGCAGGTCTGGTTTTAAAAAATTTGCTAATTTCTGATTATTTTGAAATGTCAGTTTCACATTGTATTTGAGAAACAATGGTGATGGATATATAATTCTTGGCTGTCCATTGTTTTTTTTCTGTCTTTCTTTTCCTTTCTTTCAGTATTTTATATATGTCATCCCATTGCCTTCTCACTTGCTTGGCTTCTGCCAAGAAATGAGACCTTAGTCTTATGGATTCTCCTTTGTCAGTAACCTTTTCTTTTTCCTGAGCTGTTTTCAGAATTCTTCCTTTGTTTTTGGTTTTGAAAAGTTTGATTATGATATGTCTTGGTGATTTTCTTTTTGCATCTATCTTATTTGGGGTCCATTGAGATTCTTGAACATCTCTTCTTTCATGATGTTAGGGAAATTTTCTTCCAACAAATCTTCCACAATTTTTTCAGTGGTTTTTTTTTTTTTTTTTTTTCCTCTTCCTGTTCTGGAATTCCAGTCACTCATAAATTATTCCTCTTGATGGTGTCTGACATAATTCTTAGGCTTTCTTTATTCTTTTTTCTTTTCTTTTTTTTCTGATCATTCCTCTAACAGATTGGTATTGAAGATGTGTCTTCTGTTTTGCTAATTCTTTCTTCCATTTTACTCCTTTGCCCTTCCAATTTGTATGTTATCTATTTCTGAAATTTTGGTATTAATCTCTTGGCTTTCTATTGGCTATTTTTGTTTGGTCTCTAATTTTCCATTTATTTTGTCAATTTGTTCTTATATTCCTTTCCTGAATTCTTCTAGAGTTTTGTCTGTGTTTTTCTTGATTGTATCTTTGGTTTCCTCGATCTCTTTCTCAATCTGTTATCTTGAATTCCTTGTCAGGTAGCCCCAAGACCATTTTTTCCTCCATTCTTCCTTCAGTGCCTTCCAGTTTTTCCTTCTTCCTCTTTCTGGTCCTGGGTATCACTTGCTTGAGACATCTTGTCCTTTTTTTTTTTGTTTTTCCCTGTGTAATTTTAAGTTGTCTGTAGTTTTCAAGCCATTGTGATATTATTGTATTTATTTGTTGATGGTATGTTGGTTTGCTTAACCCTGGTTTTTCATTTGGCTTTTAGAATTATGAAAGTGAAAGATTACTCCTATTATGTTTCTTTTAACATTATTGAGCAAACACTACTACTTTTTCCAAAAGGTATCTTCCTACCCTCATTCCCCATCTATGGTCCCAGCCTACTCAGACATTTTCCCTTTTCTTGTATTTGTCTTAATTTTAAAATATTTGAGTAGATAAATTATATAATCATATATAATTATAATCATATAATTGCTGAAACTTTAGCATTTATTAGCATTAAATATTTTGCATCCTTGATCACATTCAGATTAACATTCACATATATTCAGGAATAAGAAATAATTTTTATTTACATGGACAATATTCTTTATTTTTTAGTAAGTATCTTTGATTTTTTTAATTAATTGTCTTGGTAGTTTGTTGAAAATCAAGTTATTTTAAAAAATCAAGTTATAAGCTTTTTGTGGCTGCACTGTTCAAAGTTAACTCTGCCTTTAAAAGTCTATTATGGTTTTATCTAAGGAGCTCTGACAGCACAGTGCCTAAGGTATCTAACTGCTGACCAGAAGGTTGGTGGTTCTAACCCATCAGCCACTCCGTGGAAACAAGACTGAGCCATCTGATTCTATAAAGATTTACCACCTCAGAAACCCAATGGGCGTCACTATGAGTCGGAATTGACTTGATAGCAGCAGGTTTGGTTTTTAGGGTTTATGGTTTTATCTACCTGTATATGGAATGTCATATATTTTAAAGTTTGCTTTTATTCACTTATGAAATAGGATTTTTAGTTGGATATTGGCGAAATCATCCTAGCAACTATATCTTCATTTTAAACCTCTTTATTTTTAAGTTTTCCATGCTTTCTCTTACCTTTGGTCATTTAAAAGTATCACATTTTTTATAGCTTGTTAGAATTCCATCAAATATTCCACATATAAATTATACCAATAATTTGATAACTATATGATGATTTTTTAGTTTCTTTTAATGACTTCTTTGTTCCTGGATGTTCTTAGGGTGATTCAGCCTTTGTGTGTATGTATTTTATACTTAAGACATGCATGTTAAAAGTTGTGAGTCATTATTCTTGAGTTATTCATTGTGAATCCCTCATAAAAGACTTTGTCTCATAGAAGCTCTTTATTGTGACTAATGATGCTATGAAATGAAATAGTATTTGCTTTCCACCAGAGGGAGTATTGCCTGATTCTAAACACCTCTTTGTTAAGACACTCAAGAGGAGTAAGCTCGATTTTCCTTTACCTATTTTAAAGATAGGAGTTACTATTTTCATCTTTATTTTTTAAAGTCTATCACTAGTGTGTTGCATGTAAATTAATCAGGGCCAAGTTTTAGGCAGGTTTTTTTTTTTTTTTTTTTTTTGCATTATGACAAATTGTTTTAATACTATACTTTTTCTTAAAATGATGAGTTTCCTTTTTTCTTTTTTTTTTAACTCCCCACTCTGTCCTCTTCCTGGAAACCACTAAACTTTTGTCTTGATGGATTTACTTATTCTAGATATGTCACATAAGTAGGATCATACAATATTTGTCCTTTTGTGTCTGGCTTATTTCATTCAGCATAATGTTTTAGGTTCATCCATGTGATGGCTTGTATTAGAACTTCATTTCTCTTTATAACTGAGTAATACTCCATTGTATATATATTACACATTTTGTTTAATCATTTATCTATTGACAGGTACTTTATTTTCACCTTTTCACTATTGTGAATAGTGTAGCAATAAACATTGATGTACAATTATCTGAGTCCCTGCTTTTAGTTCTTTTGGGTATATACTGGGGAGTAGAATTGCTGGTTCATTTAGTAATTCTGTGTTTAACATTTTGAGGAACTACCAAATTTTTTGACAGTGGCTATATCATTTTACATTCCTACCAGCAATGTCTGAGTGTCCCAATTTTCCCAAATCCTCACAAATACTTGTTTTCCATTTTTCTGATCATAGCCATCCTAGTGGGTATGGAGTGGTATCTCATTATGGTTTTGATTTGCATTCTCCTAATGAGCATGTTTTCATGTGTTTATTGGCTATTTGTATATCTTCTTTAGAGAAATATCTACTCAAATCCTTTGCCCATTTTTAAATTGGGTTTTTGTCTTTTTATTGAAATTAATTGTTCTTTATATATTTTATGGAGCACTGGTGGCACAGTCGTTAATTGCTTGGCTGCTAATGAAAAGGTCAGCGTTTCAAACCCATCAACTGCTCCTAAGTGAAAAACAGGACATTTTTGGGGAAATGGAGAAAAATTCTGTAATGATTTATAGCCTTGGAAAGTCTGTGGGGCAGTTCTACTCTGTCATCTATGATCACTGTGAGTCAGAATCGACTTGACAGCAGTGGGTTTTATATATTCTGGATATTACACTCTTACCTAATGTATGGTTTCCAAATATTTCTCACATTCTGCAGGTTGTCTTTTCACTTTCATGATGTCTCTTGATGCACAAAGGTTTTCAATTTTGATGAAGTTCAGTTTGTCTTTTTCCTCTTGTTACTTACGTTTTTGGTGTCATATCTAAGAATCTGTTATCTAAAAGAACATTCTGAATCTTTATTCAGACAATTATTTTTGATACTTGGTTTATTCTAGATGGTAAAAGCAAACTAGTGAAAGAAGAATGACTTTCTTTTGGTAACTTTATGGCATCTCATATTTATCAGTAAACTTCGGTTAAAGAATCAGAAGACTTGATGACATTTAAGGCTTCTTCATGTCTGAGGCTTAACTTGATTATTGTCTTCTCTCACTTATGTTTTTTTAATAAAAGTATTTCTGTTTATATTTGTTCTTTTACCTAGTTATTTTTTTGGAACATTTTTCGTTTGTTATTAGATAATAATCAAGCTGGGTTTGTGTGTCTTAATTAGAATTTGTAGTTTCATTTGTTTTTAGTACCATCTTAAAAAAAAGGACTTTAAAATATTCCAACTGTAACAATATAAAATACAAGATTTTGAAGGTGACTTCAGAAACTGAGGAGGAGGCATCAATTTGAGAATAGGCAACAAACAATAAGGAAGAAATAGGCAAAACTTAGAGGCAGAAACGTAGTTTTGTGGTGGATATTTCTGCTCTTGGGTGCACTCTACCTAACAAATGAAAAACATGCTTTCTTGCTTTAGATGGTTCTCCAGCAAGAATGATTGCTGTTGGTGATTTGAGGCATGTGGATTTAATTACAAATTGAAGTCCTGAATGTTTATATTTAATAATGTACTTAATATATTGCATATCCTTAGTATTCTTGGTGTTTTAACATATTTCTGCTAGTTTTCAAAAACAGAAACCTTATGTTGAAAAGAAAAATTGTCTTACTTATAATACGTGCATATGTTGTTTTTCTCCTTTTATTTTTAGGTGCAGTTTTCTTGGTTATTTTTTGTAGGAGCTGTTCCTGTATTTTTTTCATTTTTTATTGTAACTCTCCTATGTCATTATAATAATTGGGATCCTGTGATGGTGGGAATCAGAAGAATTTTTGCATTTATATGCAGAAAACATCGAATTCAGAAGTAGGTTTATTTCCTTTATAGATTTTTTAAAAAGTAATATTTGATAAATAAATTGGAATTCATACATTGTTTCCTTATGATTTAGAGATTTTTGTGAAAGATTATTGAAAGATTATAATTTATATATGTACTATGCCAGATAAACCTAAAATAATTTCTCAGAGCCTGTGGGTGAAAAGATAGTTACTTTGTACATACTTAAAAAAAAAACAACTCCCCAAGCAAAATCCAAGTGCTTAGTTATTTTACTATAACAGATTTTAATGTAGAAAACTTTTATTGGTTTGATTGTAATTCATAATAAAATATGATAGCATTGCCTGAAATTTTTTTATAAGTGCTTTTTAAGAGAGAATACTCTTTATGCTTTACTCTAAAAAGAACCCAGGACATGTTATGCCCTTGTCTCGATTCTGCTGCTAACTCCCATTCTGACCTTACTAGCTTTAGCCAGTAAAATAGATCATCTTTAAAGACCTATTTCAGCTCTAAAGCTTTTTTTCCTTTTTCTTTTCTTTTTTTTTTTTTTCTAAGGGTTCCAGAAGACAGTGAACAATGTGAGAGTCTCATTCCTATGCACAGTGTTTCTCAGGAGGATGGAGCTAGTTAGCCCAGGTTTGTATGTGAGCTGGTTTGTGTTGAATATGGTTCTTACTCTTGTAATATTCAAATCCAGAATTTATTTTCCATAATTAATTGTTTGAGAAACAATATAGCCTACAGATTAAGTGAATAGTGTTTAGAATCAAACTGCCTATGCTCTAATTTCATCTTCTCCTGTATTTGTTGTGTGACCTTGTGCGAGGTTAACATCTCTGTGGCTCAGTTTTCTTACTTGGAAAAAAGAGATAATAATAGACCCTCCCTCCCTCATAGGGTTGTTACAAGTATTTAATATTTAATAAGTTTAGGGTATATGCAGTAGTGTTAGGGTCATATTAAATGGTCAGTAAGTTTTAGCAATTACTTTTTTTCATGCTAAGTATAATCATTTTATTTAATTTTGTACCTTAGAAATTTTTTTTGTTTCTGATTATAAAAGTAATTCAAGTTCAAGAAAAAAATGTAATATGTTGTTATATATCAAATCTTTTATCTGTGAATGTATATATGTTTTATATAAGTGGCCCACTGTATATACTAATAATCTGTGCTTTTTCACTTAATAATGTTTCCAGGATATTTCATCATTTTCTAATTTTAAGAAATAATATCTTTTTAGTATTTCTTAGAAAAAAGATACATGGGTATTTAATGATTTGATGAATAAATGCTTGAAATCCAAATATATCTTTGGCAGTAATAGAAGTGATTATTTAGAATGAGATAGCATAGTAATTTAGTGAGATTCTGGTCCCTATCTTCTGAGATATCTTCAGGCATTTTGTTCGTATTGAAATACCTCCTGGTTGCAGCAGGACTTCCTCTCACCTAGAACATGTACAACTCCTGTAAACTCCTAGCACTCACAGGGATCTTGAAGTATAAGTTTTATTAACTTCATGATAAATTCCTCTGACCTTAGGCTGATTATCTTACTCTTTGTTTTTCTTTGGAAAGTCACTTTTTAATCTAGTTTTTATTATGATATTTATATATGCACAGAGTTTTAAGAGTTACAGTTTTACAAGACTTATTACACAAAATAGTTATCCATGCCCAAATTGTATGTTGCCAGTTAACTAGTATGTCCCTTGAAACTGTGACCCAGAACCTCCGAACTAAGGAACGGAATTTCACGAGGTTTTTGGTTTACATAAGCAGCGTTAGCAGCTACTCTTTGTTGTTGTAAATATATCTATCACACAGCTTTTGCCACTTGAACTTTTTATAGGTGTGTAACTTATTGACAGCAATTACAATAATCAGCTGTGCAAACCTACACTTAATCAGTGTAATTTTTCCATCACTGTTCTTCTGTTATCCCCTACTTCCTTCTCCTCAAAACCAAAAAAACCGAACTCCCTGCCATCGAGTCAATTCTGACTCATAGTGACCCCCCATTGGGTTTCCAAAGTGGTAAATCTTTATGCAAGTAGATTGCCCCATCTTCCTTCTATGGTGGTGGTGGTTGTTATGTGCTGTCGAGTCGGACCTGACTCATAGCAACCTCTCTTTGGGTTTCCAAAGCAGTATCACTATGGAAGTAGATTGCCCCATCTTCCTTCTGAGGATGGAGCAGCTGGCAAATGCCTTAGGCACTACGCCGCCAGAACTCCTTCTCCCATTCCTGTTGTTGTTGTTGTTATGTGCCGTCAAGTCAAACCTGACTCATAGCGACCCCTCCTTGGGTTTCCGAGGCAGTATCACTATGGAAGTAGGATTGCCCAACCTTCCTTCCGAGGAGTGGCTGGTGGGTTTGAACCGCCAGCCGTCTGGTTAGCAGGCAAGTGTCTTAGCCATTATGCTACCGGAGCTCCCACTCCTGGTAACCCCTAATATGGTAGTCCTGGTATCCCCTAGTGTAGTGCCTAAGGCATTTATTTGACTGCTAACCAGAAGGCTGGCAGTTCAAACCCACCAACCATTCCTCGGAAGGAAGGTTGGGGCAATCTACTTCCATAGTGATACAGCTGTGGAAACCCAATGGCAGTGGGTTTTTTTAATACCTGTCGTTATAACCCCATATATGAGTGGGTTGCCTTTGTTATGTTAATGAGACAAGGTTAACTTAGAGTGTCTTGAGGCAATCTCTTTTGAGATATAAAAGAGATGAAATGATAGCTAGCAAACAGAGGTGCAGGAAGAGAGATGCCAAGCTCCATGATAATCATCCAGGAACAGAAACTCAAAGAGACAAGGATCTTCCTTTAGAGCTGAGAGTAAAAGAAGGCCTTCTCTGACATAGAGAAGTACATGGGAGGTGCAGACAACAAAGATGAACCCTTTTGCACATACAGCACTGTGTTGTCAGTGAAGGCAAACACGAGTATACAGGTGGATAGATGGGTGGACAGGCTGAACTATTAGGTATATCTATGCAGCAGGGAGTGTACCCAGGACCATGTATAGGGCTGGCAGACAGTGGTTCTACAAGTGTATTTCTGTGTTCTATAAGCATTCCCAGGTGTATAGTAGAGCTGACAAGGGACAAGTTTGTAGTCACTTCTTGATATAGCCAGCTACTCAGAGGGAGCGAGTAGTTGAACCTGTGGGCTTTGGACCATAGTGACAGGGGACATCAAGCTCAGTTGCTCAGTTGGCATAACATACTACCCAAAACATCGTTCTACCTCCTACTTTGGCGAGTAGTGACTGGGATCTTAAAAGCTTGCAAGCAGCCATCTAGATGCAACGATGGGTCTCTCCTCATCCAGAGCAAAGAACAATGAAGAAAACCAAAGATTCATGGAAACAATTAGTCCTCACTACTGGTATACCATGCAGTCCTCAGCCTATATGACTATGAGACCAGAAGAACTAGATGGTGCCCAGCTACCACTGTCAACCACTCAGAGGGGGATCTATGTAGGAGATCCTAGATAGAGAGGGAGAACAATGTGGAACAAAACTCAAAATCATTTGGAAGAAAAGGGGGACCAAGTTTGCTGGTCTGATAGAGCCTGGTGGAACCACTGAGACTATGGTCCCTAGCTGCCCTTCAGGTATGGAATTGAACCCACACCTGTGGCTTCCAGCCAAACAAAAGACAGGCATATGAGTTGAACATGTACCTGAGGTAGATAAACACTCCTTGGAGAGAACAATCATGGGCGAAAGAAGGGCTGTTTATTCACAGGGAGACAGTTCAAGGGGCAGGAGTGCATGGAGGGATGGACGCAGGGAAGAGATAACTATCGGGGGGAAGTGGGAGAGGAGCTGTTGCATTGGGGTAAATTGTAGTCAATGTCATGAGACAAAGTGTATGTGAACTGCTGTATGGAAAGTGAATTTGCTCTGTAAACTTTCACCCAAATCACAATAAAAAAAAAAAAAGAAGGGAAAAAGAAAGTCTTCCCCTAAAGCCAACATCCTGACTTGTGAGAAAATAAATTTGTTTCTTAAAACTACCTATTTCTGGCATTTCTGCTATAGCAGGACTACACAGTTATTGAAAGTTTTTTAATGATGGTATTTATGCATTTTTTCTCTCTCAGTGTATGTTGTGCATTGTTCCCATACATTCATAACCATCTCCCCCCAGGCAAGAAGTCAATGTTTTTAGAAGTGAAAGCTAGATAAAATAGAGAAGATGGATTAAAATTAAGTAGAGTAGAACAGAACGAGTCAGACAGAACTCTTTGTTTCATCTGGGATAGTGCCAGAATATCATCTAAATTGTTTCATCTGGATAATGCCAGAATATACCAAAATAAAAGTAACTTATTCTGCTTTCTTTAGTGGATGTTAACCTTTGAGATTGCTTTAGAATGCTCTTTAGTTCTTATTACTTACTTTCAGTTCAAGTACCCAATTAATACATATTGTGTATGATATATATATTTCAATATTAAGATAATTTGCTTTTTAAAATATAAAATTCAGAAAGTTAAAGTTATAATCTAATGATTTTGTTTGTGTGTGTGTGTTTTGTTTTTCTTTCAGCTTGGTAGTGGAATGTTATGCAGTGAAGAGACAATCTCTGGCAAGTTTTTGTAGAAAGATGTTTCAGTGCCTAGTCTGAAAAATAACAGTTTCAGTTCTTTGAAACTCTGAGATACACGTTCCTCATATTGTTTTCTTCATTTTTGTAATGAAGTACTTTGCTATATAACTGTATACATATCATTACAATTATAGGAATTTTCAGTCTACAATCCATATAAAAGGACCAACCTGCCTTACACATCTCAAGGAATTCAGCTGATGAGATAATTTGAACTAATCAAGTAATAAAATTCTAATGTTCTAGAGAGTTTATTTTCACATATTTGTTAAATGCTGGACTATATTATAAAAATGTCAAGAAATCATTTACATACATAGATCAGTGTTTCCCACAGGTGAAATGCTAAAATAAGCTGTCTGTAATAGGTACAGAGTACATTGCTGAGTGTTGTAGAATATTGCAAATTAACAACACAAAAAAAAGAATGTTTAATTTATGCAAGAAGCATGTGAATAAAAATTTGGGGAACTTTAAAAGGAATAAATGTTTGAGGAAAATCTGGTTTGCTTATACCACATATTCTGTATTATCCTTTCATAGCATTAGGTGCCTTGTATTTTCAATCTGTGAAAAACTGACAAATTTTTATATGAGAAATGTAAAATGAAGTACTGTGTATTTCTAAAGGCTATGTTGCTGTAAATTTAATTGATAAAGCTCTGCTTACTTTAGAGTTTTGAGTAAATAGTCAATCTTCAGTTAAGACATTTTCATAATGGAATGATTTAAACTGAAGTGATAAAGATTAAAGTGTTTAAAAATGTTTATATATATATATATGTTTATTATAGATATATCATGTGGTTTCTAGTTTTTCCCCCCCACATATAAATTTGCCAAATTACTCTAGAACTGAAATCTTCTTTAAATAATTTTTATTTTCCTAAATAAATTTTTAACACTTAAAATACCAAAGAAGAAAGGCAAGAGAAGGAATTCTACTCTAAAAATTACATTTGAAATTTTCTTCTGCTAAAATGAAATTAAATATTACTCCTAAT